AATCCGTAGTCTGATACGGGCTTAAGTCGTGTCGGAAGAAATTGACCAATCACAGTTCATTATTCTCCTTACGGTCGAAGAATAGTGAACTGTGATTGGTCAATTTCTTCCGACACGACTTACGACATCCAATGTAGATGGACTCATTACGTCCATGATGTAGACCCAGCCTTAAAGCCTCCGCTACAATGATTCTCGGTTCTGTCTACAATGGTCGTAGTCGTAAGAATAATCGACTGCGATTGGTCAATTCTTATCGAGCGACTACGACTACGACCATTGTAGACAGAACCGAGAATCATTGTAGCGGAGGCTTAAGGCTGGGTCTACATTGGATGTCGTAAGTCGTGTCGGAAGAAATTGACCAATCACAGTTCATTATTCTTCGACCGTAAGGAGAATAATGAACTGTGATTGGTCAATTTCTTCCGACACGACTTACGACATCCAATGTAGACCCAGCCTAAGAAGAATAATGAACTGTGATTGGTCAATTTCTTCCGACACGACTTAAGCCCGTATCAGACTACGGATTGGGATTGGGATTAGATTGAAATTTAACCAATCACAGTAAAGTTTACTAATCTCAAGTTCAGTAGCTTTTACTCTGATTGGTCAAATTTCAATCTAATCCCAATCCCAATCCGTAGTCTGATACGGGCTTAAGAAGAACAGACCCAGAGTCTGTACGGTATACCATATAGTACACAAACAAAAGTACGTAATACCGTTGCATCTACAGGTGAAATTTGACGTATAAGTTTCGTCGTGGAATTTGTAACTCTACCGAGTAAACGAGTGTGCGTGTGAGAAAGAGAGAGAGCGTACGCGGTAACGTTCCGTGCGTATGAGAGAGAACAACCAGAGGTGGAGGTCTCGCGGTCGTAACGTAACGTCGCGAGCGTGCGTGGCTCTTCCGATGGGGAGATAACGACACGCGGCGGGGACCGGCGCGGCGCGACGCGAACGGAGCGTGCAAGACGTGTCACGTCCACGCGGCCGCGTCGTATGTGCTTTCTCGGCCTCCGCGGGACTCGCGCGCTCGCGTCGCCGCTATCGATCACGTCGGCGCGCCGCGCTGCGACACACGACGCTTGATCGCGAGCGAGCTGTAGCGAGCCGGAGCGAGCCGGAGCGAGCTGTGGAGCGAGCGGTCGACGCGAGCGTATCCGACCCGTCCTGTGTGTACCACGTGATCGTGGTTTACAAACGGCCGTTGTGACAAACCCGACCAACTGTCCGAGAGCGTGCTCGCGCGCGCGCTGTATACATACACACATACGTGGAGTTGACGCGCGACGCCTCTGCGGGACGCACTCGTGGTAAGGCCTAGAATTCACCAGAATCTAGAATTGGTCGCCGCCGCCGCAGCCTCTTTAAAATACGGCGCCGCTAATCTCGTATGCACCTGCGTGTGCGTGTGTGTGTGTGTGTGTGTGTGCGATTACCGTTTTCCGTGGAAATGTCACGTTTGTGCGCGATCACCCTCGTCGCCGAGCGAGTCCCGTTGAACCGAAGGAGAATCGGTCACCTGTGATGCCTCGACTAGGTTTTACCTCTCTCGGTCGTTGTACTTAGGTATTCCAAGCTGGAACGTGTAAGCTAGAATGTGCAGAGATAAGCGAGGACAGAAGCGATGGAACGTGTGTATCGTAAAAGTTGTAAAATAATCGATTCGACACTCGGCTTCGATTGCGAAACTTGCGGCTAAACAGCGCCTTGGCGAGCCGCGAAATTGTTCGATTAAATGCAAAGATATACGTTTTACATTGTATTAACAAAACGTCTCTCGTTTAGATATTTTCAAGCAGCCCGAACGTAAACCAGTAACGACAGTTACATTGTACAACAATCGATTCGATCCTCAATTATTGATTGCACGAATAAGCAGCGCTGCGGCAATCGGAATTGATTAAATGTACAGACGTATTTCATATTAAGAAAGCATCTTTTACTTAAGTATTTCAAGCTCGTGTAAGTCGAAACATAAACGAATAACAGTTTGATTGCAAGCTTGATTGCAGTTGAACTGCTTTGTCGCAAGCGATCAAATTATTGGATTCAAAGACACACATATTTTACTAAGAAAATACTTTTATACTCTTTTACTTAGGTGTCTCAATCTCGCGTAAGCAATTGAACGCTGAATGAATAAGAATAGCAGCCAAGTATGTGTATTGTAAAAAATTGTAATCCATTCTGTATCAATTTCGATTGCGTGGTCGAGTGACTGAACGGTGTTGTTGCGAATGATGAGATTTGATTAACAATAAGCGTTAAATTGATTGAAGATATATTTTACACGATTAAGACCTGGTTTCGCCAACGTCACTTAACTCTAAGCTTAGCTTAATTCATTCTTTGTCTCTTTTCAACTTTAGAAAGAGACAAGCGTGAATTAAACTAAGATTGAAGTTAAGCGACGCTTGGTGAAACCAGACCTAAGAGAATGCCTTTCCTGTAGTACTAACTTGTGTCTTTTTGTATTGTGTTCAGGTGCTGCGTTACATTCCACTGTAATTATATGTGCATTCATGAGGAATATGGGTGACAATATGGTAGCTTTATGGGATATCGTCCTCGCAATTAAGAAATGAAAATATGAAGAGTAGTGACCAGAAGGAGGGATCCGTCGACAAAAAGAGATATGTTTTCTTCTCGGATCCAGATGTTATCGCCAAACGCGCCGAGACTTCTGCCGTTGTGAGTAACGTTTACCCTGCTTGTATATACAAGATTCCACGTGGCTTTTTCATTGCAGGCAGCACAGATTACGCGACAACTCGGGGCGCAACGGAAGATTTTCGAGGAACAGCCAGCTGACTCGCGAGTGCCCGCGATCGGCGTCAGGAGCTTAGAAAATTTGCTATCCTATTATCCTGTACAGCCGTATCCCTTTACGTTTATTAGCGCAGTGAAACAGAAGCTCGCTTTGGAAGACCGTATTGACGTTGGCGCCAGAGCACATGACTCGAGCTCACCGGGAAAGAACAGTTTGACCACTTCGGTACTGAAGGTGGCTAGTATGCAAAGTCTGAATACGCGGAATCAGATTGTACAAAAGATGGACTTCATCAAACCGCTGAAAGTACCAGACCTGAAAATCTCCCCCAAAACACTGGATTTTTCCAGCAGAGAAAATTCTATTTCGAAGGAGCTGTCCTCGACCAAGTCCGAAGTAGCCGCAAAGGAATTTGCGCACGACAGATCCGAGGGTTTGAGGACTGGCGAGAGGGTACAGAGAAAATTGGACTTCTCCTCGGACGGGTCGTCGTTCATCAATTGCGAAAGCATAGAGCCGTTGAAAGCACCAAATGTCTCCATAGCGTCTAATTTAAGTAAGAAGAAGGAACACGTTAGAGACAGCTCCAGGGAAAAGGAGAACAGATCGAAGAGGATGAAAAAGGATGATTCTTCGTGTGCGAAGAGGGACGAGTGTGCGCAAGATCAAGTGAAACGCAGCCGGAGTCCGAGACGCGTCTCCCGAAAAGATGCCAGCGATATAGGTAACGTAAAATTGCCGAAGAACGAGAGACCATTCCATGCTGCAAAAAGCAGCGACTTCTCGTCGGCGAAGTCAAAAGACAAGAGTACTGTGGCGTCCATTGCTAAAAAGGATGACAAACGACAGAGATCCTTCAACGTGCAATCGGTGGAATTAACGAAAGACAATCCTCTGGAGCCCAAGATTAGAATATCTAATGAACCGTCGTTTTTCCCACTTTGGAAGGTGCTGGATAAAGTTACGATGAGAGATAACATGGGCGTTTTATCTAGCACTGAAAATAAATCTAAAGACGCGAGCCATTATTTTTTAAAGCAAAAGTCGGAGATGGAAGACTCGAAACATAAACCTGATTCGGATAGTAGACAATTGAAGCAAGACAAGTTAAATACCATCTACAAGGAGCAAACGAAGAGAGCGTCTGACAAGAATAAAATGTTGAATAGCAAAGTTGAAGATAAGCTGAACAGCGTCGATTCCGAGCCGTCGGAAGACATTGAGTTTATGTCTGAATCAAACAGTTCCAGGAGTCGTATCAGTGCTTATCCCGCAAGTTCCACGCAGTCGTCAAAAGGTAAGGATCTCGAGACGGCTATGGAGGGCAAACAAAACGTTAGTTCCGCCAGATCGACCAAAACTTCGGAGAATTTCAAATATACGGAACATTCCGTGGCGCAGTCCGCGAGCACAAGCGTTAAAAAGGACGAGGAGTCGAGTTCCCAGAGCATCGTTACGGCTAAAGAAACTACCATGCACGATAATTCAAATGATGTGGACGACAGTACACTGCCAGATGCATTGTTTGACCCTAGGAGAATCTCCTTCAGAGACGGCTATTGCCAGCCAGAATTTTATAATTTAATGACGCCGGAAAAAATGAATCTTATGCTCAGATCGAAGCGAAGAAGGCACTTGGTGCAGAGCAGCGATTCGGAAGTAGACGCGAGATGCCCGAAGTACAAGCCGACGGTAAAATCGGAAAAGGAGCAGGAGGAGATACAATTGGTGAGTCCGAAATACCACGTTTTATTCGGTTGTAACAATATATTTTTAATAAAGTGAAAGTGCATTGGAATTTCAGATGCACCCAACAGCTTTGCATATGCAATTTCAGGCGGAACTGCATCTTTACGATTCTTACAACGAGTCCCTCCGACAGGTAATGGACGTTGAAAAGTGTCTGCACAACGCCAAGTGCGAGGTGCAAGAGCAAAAGAATACGCAGAAAGTCGATGGAAAGGACGAAAAGGAGGTCGAGGAAATTGCGGAGGACTGTGCAGCTGCTGCGATCGATGACGATGCCGTTGAGAAAAGTAGGAAGTTATCAGTAGAATTACACATACTTATAGTAATATTCTTAAATATTTGAAATTAAAAATATATACGTAATTTTATGTACACATTTTTAACGTACATATTTTTACTATTAATGTATTTTCCTTACAGCAACATGGAATCCAGCTGATTATATGAAAAAGGACATTGCCGAGCCTCGGAAATCGAGCGACGAAGCGCACTTCAGTAGAGAGCATTATATTCCAACCCAGGGCAGCGACGAAGCCAATTATGGATTTAATTATGGAAAGTTTAACAAAGTGGTGGTCAAAGTGGCGGAGGTGCAAACGCAGACGGTGAACGACATAGCCACCCAGACGGACATATCCGCGGACGAGCGGAACGCGAAAAATAGATTATCGGAAAACGCGTACGAAATCTTGAGGGAAAACGAGATTCCCCAGCTGTCCTTAGATTCGGCCGAACAGTTCGAAGATCTGGACCAAATAGAAGAGATATCACTGCCAAGTAGAATAAGGACCATGTCGGAGATTAGTTTGCACGAAACTACGTCGTCGATAAAAACGGAAACCGGGACTGAGATTAGTATTTCGACTCGAGGTATGACGTGCTCGTACATAGATTCAGAGGTAAGCATATTTCGCCAGATGTGTGCTTTCGTTGGTAATTAATGTGTACACGGAGAGAATTGTCTCTTAAAATTTGTCCTGCAAAAAATCATGTGATCGTGGGACAATATGGTATTTTGAAGAATTTTATGCGACTTTTTTTAAATTTTGCCATACAGTTTACTAGTAAAATAGGTATAATTACTAGTGAAATGTATGGTAAAAAACTTTTGAAAATTCTTTGAAATGTGTTGTCCCACGATTGCATAATTTTCAGTATAAATTTCAAAAGAAAATGTTCTCCGTGTACATTAATTAAATATGTCTTATACGAACTTTCCTTCCAGATAGCACGACTGTTGAGGGACGAGAATCAATTGAGCCATCAGATAAAAGAGTTTTTAAAATCTCAGGAGAAAACGTTAAATGACAAAACCAGGAAATTGGTCGAGCTGGAAGAGCAAAAACGCGCACTGAAGGATACCGGACAAGACAGCCGTTCTGTGAAAAAGAAGCAGAGAGCTCTGCTTCTAAAACTGGAAGAGGAGAAGAAAGAAATTAAAAGGTGAGGCGACATTTGTGTAACTATGTACTGTACTTTCGACTCACTTGTACTAAATTTTCCCGTTTATTGACAGATTAAAACGTTTGTGCGAGGTTACGAGCCAGGAACGAAAGGATGTGTTGCAAAAGCAGAGAGAAATGTTTAATCAGCAGATGTCAACGAAGACGAATATCCTGTCGAAATTGAAGAAGACCGCGGACAGTCAGTCGCCGAGAAGATTGTCGGGTCCAATGAAGGGTTACGATATACGCAGCAATAGCTCTGTAAGCTCCTTAATCGAATCGGACAAATCTCAGCACGATCGGTCTCAGATCGACGCACGCTTGCAGGCGTCCGAGAGCGACGCGTCCAAATTTAACTGGTTCAAGTCCAACAGGTTGATAAGTCTGGCCGCAGAAAACAATACGTTTGCGGCGAGATTCGACGATTTGGATAAGAGTAAGGAACAGGAGAAGAGTCCCACGCAGTTGCTGAGGAAGAGCGATATGTCGAAATACGAGCTGCGGTCTCGAAAGTACGAGGAAAAGATGCCCAGGGCGGATGTCTTGCGGCAGAAGCAAAATCAGCTGCACATGGAGTCCAAGTGGATTCAGGGCCATCCTATGAAGATAAATATGCGGCTCTTGGAAAATCAGGATCAGATCAGGCTGTCACCGAGACCGGAGGTGGACACGTCGGTGCCGATAAAATCCGAATCTGATGCACTAGGAGTGGAGGAGCTGTCGATGGAGGTGCTGTCTAAAAGATCACGAACGTCGCAAGTAACGGATCCTTCCGTACAAACCGCGACCGCCGCGAAAGAGAAAGAGTCGACTTCTAACGCCGCCGAGAGCGAATCCATAAAGGAGGAGATAAGCGCGACGGTCCAAGACACCCTTTCAAAGATGACGCAGTCACAAATCTCCGAAATAACGCAGACGAGCACGAGTAAAACCTCGAAGAAGATTGACAAGTCTACCGCGAGCGACGTATCTAAAAAGTTGCAGCACAACGCCGAGCTGAAAACGAGCTCGAAGCGGAAAAATTCCAAGTATCAGAAAACGAAATCGTCCTCCAGTATATCGACGGAGAATGTATTGCGGTCCAAGTCGAGCTCCCACATATCGGAGGAGCTTATTAAGCATCACGACAAACGAACGAAAGTGGAAAACGAATTGCTGCAGTTAGACAACAACGAGGAGAGTTCGATCTTGGGCGAGTTAGATGTTAACGAGAGCCAAGCCTCGCTTCAGGCGCTCGTTAAGCATTCCAAGACTGCCAAGGACAAAAACTCCAAGTTATCGAGCGAGATAGCAAGCAAGAGCAAGGAGAACGGGTCCGCTCAGACTTCGAGCAGAAAATTTGAGGCTCAAGGTCTTTCCAGGAACGAACGAGACGACCGAAACGCATCCACGTCTCTGATCAGCACCTTTGCCGTTTCCCATCACAGCTCCGAAGAAAGTGAGAAAAATCTCTCGAGATCCGTGGTCCTCAGGTCGCAGGACAGAGAATTGGAACAGTAAGTGCGCGCTCACATTCGTTTGTCACATTGTCCCTTTCCACCTTTAACGATCTCAAATGCTCGGGCACTGCTGCTCGGCGCGTGCACTCCGCTAATAAAATTCCGAATCACTAAAATCGTGCGCCGGCAGATCTAATAATAAACCCGCGTGCATCTCCGCGCCGCATCAAGCGGAGCATTGTAAAAATAGATTCTCCGGAGAGGCGACCCGCGTATGCACGTGCGTATTCCCGGGGCTGTACACCTTTTCCGTTCTCCTCAGGTTTCTCAACGCACGCGAAACGGCAATTGCATCGCGCAAGAACTGCGTCGAGGAGTGGATGGCGTGGCACGCGAGGCTGCGGGCGGAGGAGGACCGCGTCACTCATATGGAGCAGGCGGCGTTCAAGCTCGTTGCGGCAGCGTCGAATGTTTTGTCTCAGCAAGGCGGCGGTAACAAATGCACTTATACGCATAAAAGCTCAACTGACAATAACGTGCGGTGATTCCTTGATAAATTTCGTATTAAATTCACCTGTAAACGAGCTCCAGAAAGACCCTTTGCGGATATCATAATAATGCTCGTATCGTTGTGACAAATTGTTACTTTATTAGATATTAATTAAGTGTAGCTCTTTGCATAATTTCAAACTCTGATCACGATCAGAGAGACGTCTGTGCTCTTTTATAGATACCACCGTGTCGTCCGACACGAGCGACGTCGAAGGAAGGATAGGCCTTCTCACTGAGAAATTAGCGGAGCGGCGTCTCGAAATGGCGCGTCTAAAGAGAGAGGCCAAGAAGCAAGCGAAGAAACAGTTACGTGCTCTGGAGGCAAACCTGCTGAATCAAATCAAGGTAAGTCTGCATACGCGGATAATTTGATTATTGCTGCCCTACATGAAATGTATCTCCTTGTACCCGACAGAAGTACGACACGACCATCCACGAGATGCGCAAGAAGCTGGAATCGAAGAAAGTTGTTAAAGAGTCCGACAAGTTAGCTATAGAGCCAAAGTCGTTGGCCGACTTCAAAGTACCTGAAATACCGCTTAAGAGGATACAGGACATTTACAAGAGCAGCGATTTATTGAGATCCAGATCGGAATCGGATCTCCTGCTGACGAGGAATCAGCAGAAAGATTTCCTGAAGCCCGCGACGCACGTGGCGTACGACGACAAGCGCGAGAGTGACAGTCCTCAGAAGTCTACGAGATCCCCGGATGTCAAGGGCGCGAACGCTCTCGCATTAAAGAGCACTACAGATCCCAGTATTTTGTGCGATTACACGTCGACGGAGGCGTACGATAAGATTCAAACTGTGCCTTCGGCGTCGTCGACTTCGAACGACACGCGGTCTGGAAAATATTCTCTTTCCGCGGAAAGACAAATCGAAGAGTCTACTACCGCCGACGTGGAACAAATTAGCGTGTCGCACGACGAAAATGCTAGAACGGATCTCAGTACTGTGCGATCGGAACTGGAAGTGCGAACGACGTCGGACGCGAGATTCGTAGATCGCAGTATTATCAACACCGAGTCGGCGGATGGTAGATTAACCACCAATGTCGATCAATCTCAGCCAAAGACTCCCACGATACTGTCCGAGATTCCGGAAATAGGTAGCGTCGAATACTCCAAGTCTGTCCCGAGCGGATCCGCGCGTTCTGCGGAAAATGTTGCGCGTGTCGCTGATTCCAGTATACTCACCTATTCGAGAAAGTTGGATTTTCTGCAGCTAAACAATAAGAACTTGAGCGAGGATATAAGTTCCATCGAGAAGGACATTAAGGCGCTTTCGGAGATAATGTCGCGCTTAAGTAATGAATCGAATGACAAGTCTAGGGCGAATCTCGATGAAAGGAACACGTCGCAGGATATATCGGAGATAATATCCAAGTCGGTTTTGAGCGACCAAATAATTGATATTGAAAACGAAGAGCGGCGAGCAACGTTGTCCGAGAAGGAGGTCGACACCGAGTCGCCTTCCTTGGTGAACAATAGAAAATCAATATCTTCCGATGATTTCAGCCATGACAAATACGTATCGGAAAGACTAAGTGGCGAATCGGCAATAATCCCGGAAGAAGCTCCTACCATCTCCAATTTGCCCCGCGAAATCGATTACGAAGCCAAGAGTCGAGAGATTATGAACGAGATCGAGAAGTCTGTACTGTCGCAGCATATTAAGATTGCGAGCGGCGATCACACTTCAGTGTTAGAAACTGGAAATGAGGAGTTGCTCAACGATCTGGTCTCCGAGCTCGATATGAAATCGATTTCCGAGATTCTCTCCAAAGTGTCAGAGAGCAAAAAGAGTCTAGATCTCGCGAAGAGCACGGCGACCCAAATTGTCGACGACTCGAAGAAAGGGATAAACGAACAAAGCGATTTAAATGAAACGATACTCGAGAAGGACTTCGTTAAAGCTCAAACGGAAGAAGCGTATTCTCTGAAACTTGCCGAGCGTTTCAACAATACGTCGGTGCAATCTCCCATCATCTCCGGTCACCGTTCGAAGGAAACGCTGTCGCAAGGCAACTCGCGAGGTGGTTCGGCCTCAAGTCAGAGTCCGCGCGTGTTCGCCGCTGAAGATTTGAAACCGTCGAGAGATATTCCCGAGGCAGAGGCCAGAATCGGTCCCGCCGATGACGCGGAGATACCAGGACCGGAGGACCTCGAGGAAGATATTCGTACGGAGGCACTCGACGGTACCGTGGACTCGCCGGCGCTCGCGTCTCGCACCGATCGAGATCGGTCGCGCGCGGCCAGCGCGAGAAACATTTCCCAGGACAAGGACGACTGGACGACGTCCGACTCGTTCGAAGTACCGCAAGATGGGATTAGCGTTGGGGCACGTGAAGAATTGGAGAATTCGAGGTTGGACGACACCGCGAATAATTTCTCGGAAAAGGCCGCGTCGCGCCTCGACGACGTGACGGATCGAGAAGCCGAGAGCAATTTAATAAGCGACGCTGACGCGTCGGCCTTTCTTCCAAAAGGGGAGTCTACCAACGTGCAGGACGTTACGTTCGACGACGCGGTGGCACAATCTGAAGTGAAAAGCAACGACGAGCTCGACGATATCTTGGCTATAATCGCCAGGGAAAATGACGAGGAGAAGAGCGCTCCTGGGGGTGAAAAGCTTGATGTGATCTCCGATTCCATGACCGAATTGTTAGACAGAGTTAAGGATATTGTGGAAAATGATGGGGGGAATGTGGATCATTTTAAAGGACTCTTATGTGACGTGGACATCAGCATGGATGATCGAATCGATCCAGTTTTAGACCCCTCGATATTGAGTAAAGCGCAAGGCGAGGTAAACGCGGAAGAGGAAAGTAATATGGTCTCTGTGGACGCTCGCAAGGATGACGAAGCCAGCCAACGCGAAGAAATAATAGATACGTCGTCGCGAACAGTCGGCGATGAATCTGCCGTAAATGTAAACCTGTACGTGGAGCTCGGCGACGAGGAGAGTCCGAGCGAGGCGCCGGAGGTACAGGAGATTATAATAACGGAGCTGGATTCGAGCAGCGCCGAGGACAACGCGTTGTCCGAGCTTGAGATTGACGCGAGAGTCGAGCTGGCCGAGGGAGAAGAATCTGCCGCGCGCGACGCGAAGGGAAACGAGGGCGCGGTGCCTGTCGAGGTGAAGGAATGTCTGGAATCGATCTCGGAGCGAGACAGTTCGGATGGCGAGCAGCTGGACAACCTTGTGGAGGTCGCCGTGAGCGGATTGGACACAGTAGAGAAGACTGTCGCGTCCTCGCGCGACTCTCCCAGGCCGGTGTTGGACGATGCGACGTCCACGGCGCAGACTGGCCGAGCTGAGGGAGAGACGGCGGACGACATCGCCGTGGAGAGTGACAAAGTCGCGGGGTCGGAGACTATCAACAAGACGTTCGACGTGCTGAAAGATCCGGAATACGAGGACATCTCCGAGGAGAGCCTCGAGGTGTCCGAGATTCTGGACAGGGACGACCTTCCAAGGGCGAAGAAGCTGCCGAGCTTGCCGGAGAGGTATCAAACCACCCAAAAGTCGGAAGACGTGCTGAGAATACTGGACGAGATCTCGCAGAAGTCGTCGCTCGACTCCGCGAGCGACTCACGGGCCAACGAGAGGAGCGCTCGGAGCGCGACGGAGGAGATCGGCGAGGTCCCGGGCGCAGAGGATTCCGCACGTCGAACGACGAGCAAGCTTGAAGAAGAGTCCTACGAAGTGGACGGATCGAAGGGTCCACTCCTGGAAGAGGTAAACTCGCAGGACAAACGGTCGGCCAGCGACGCGGACGGCTTATCGGAGAGGAAACTGTCTCCTCTGAGGCTGGACGAGGACGACAAGTCCTCTCGGATAATAGATGAGCTGCGCGAGAGGGTCTCGCAGCTGCAGGAGCAGAATGGCTCGTCCGAGTCCAGCGAGGCCGGCGACACTCCACGGGGCGTGTCCGAGATCGAGATGGACTCGCCGAGAGACTTCAACGACTCGAGGCTGGACATCGACATCCTGGACGACGATCTGCTGAGCGGCACCAAGGCGGCGAACCGGAGCACCGACATGGAGACCAATTTCCATTCCGCGTCCATCGTCGCCTCACCCGACAAGGACATCGAGGCTATGATCTACGAGTTAAAAGGTGACTCTCGCCACTCCGTATTCGTTAGTCCAAGTAATATTAGAATATCGTTTTATATAAAGTTGGAGAAATATAGTAGACTATATACAGTCACAACTTTAAATTCTGCTCTATATCTAATGTCTGAATCAGAGTATATCAATCCTATATTATAGTACTCATCCGTCCGACTGTACATATTTTTTCAAACTCGAAACGTTATGTGTGTCGTTATGAAAGTTATATAAATATTGTAACCCAGTCGGTACCTCGCTATCGAATGGATGCCTGGTCTAATGTGCGGGATAATCTCTAGCCGCGACACGTTGCGAAGCAATGATCTTTGAAAGATGCTATTCGAGCGATTGAGCCGCAATAGTCGAATAACATATTTCAAGGCATACCTGTATATGTTGAGAGAACACATAGTGGATCTCTCTTTTTTTTCTCTCTTTCTCTCTTTCTCAACAAATTACTGTTGTCATTCTCGACCGAGATCATGCGATGCAATTTTTATATGTGGGCTGACCATCTCAGAGACACTCGGTACATACACATCTCGATCTATACACATTTATATACTACAGAAAAACACCTTTTGTTTTTTATAATGGCTGTGTGCTCTCCTGTGCAAAAGCGTTGCCTGGTATAGCCATGTGTTGTTTATTTTCAGACAAATAGCAAAGTCGAGATTATATTTGTCTAAAGGTAATACACGAAACTACGAATGATACGAACATTGACTTGTCTTTATCTCTGTACAAATCGGTGTCGCATGAAATGCTTGATCCTCTCATTATTGGTCCGTATGCGCACAAAGAAAGGCCTGTAAATATTATGCATCACAACACACAATTATTCATCGATTACTGTCCACCTTTCTCTTCCCTCCGAGCCTGTCAGAAGAGATTTACCGTCGTGTACAGGTGTTATATGGAATGTCCCACCTTGTCACAGCTTCGTACTATTTTATATAAATATATATTATGTATATGTGTATGTGCACACACAACGGTGCATTATATATGCATAAACATACATATATATGTGCATTAAAATATTTTCTTGATATATTCTCCCAACTTTTAACCGTCCCTCTCCTTACAGCACTCTCAGTTTAAGTATATAAATTGTGAACCCCCGATGTAATGTGAAGGCTCGTGTTGCTTTACCCGACAAACTTGTCTCTCTCTCTCTCTTTCTCTCTGTCTGCCCATCGTATTTACAGATATGTATATTTCTCGCTTACTCCGTACAGCTTCGCTGGGACAGCCTGGTCAGGACCTCGCCGAACTGGAAGCTAAGCTGCTTCGAATCGAGCAACTGCAGATCGAGTTGGAGGTACGTATTCCTTTTACGATCAGTTGATCGCAAACACGGACATTTGGCTTGAGTGCACACGTGAACGAAACGTTACTTTTAAGATCAAGAAACTGGAAGCGGAGGAAGTGTCTTACTACGTGAGAGAGATACCGAACAAGCCGCCGCCTCCTTACACCCCGCCTGGAGATGGCCGGCTGTCGGCTTCGCTCGGTTCGCCCTCGTTGATCACCGCCGTAATCCCGTCGAACGTCGAGGAACTGACGTCGTTCACTGAGAAGGCCACGACCTTGATATACAATGCCAAGCTGGCCGGCGAGGACATCGCAAGTCTGGAAGCGCCCGCCGAGATCTACGAACTGACCAAAGATAAGAGCGAGAAGAGGGACAGGCGAATCTACAATACTTTCCTGTTCGACCTCTGTAAGGAGACCATCGTGGAGGTGTATCGGGCGGAGTACGAGAAGCCCGGGCCGAGTTGGACGAAGCCGAACGTGAAGATAAAGCCCACGATGAAGATCCCGAAGAACGTCGAGGAGCTGATCGAGTACGTGAATAAGGAGGTCGCCACGCTGTTCGGTTTCAAGACGAAGCTGCAGCGCGAAAATATGGTGATGCGGTGGAGCAGGAAGCGTAGGGACAGGGTCGACGAGTTGCTGGCGAGAGAGGCCCAGGCCGAGGAGGACGAGTGGACCAAGTTTCATCACGACGAGCTGGCGGTGAAGAACGGACTCACGGTAGCCATACTGGACACCCTCGTGATGGAGACTGCGACCGTGATGAAAATAGCCTACGGTAAGAAGAGGAGAATGATGGCGTAGCAGTTCGTTAACTTTCGCGTCTGAATAGCGGCACTATCTTGCGGTTCATTGTTAATTAAGACGAGCGAAAGAGTGAAGGATATCCTCTCAGTCAATGTTTCCTCAGGACTGCGTTTCCATTCGCACTTTTGTCCACTAGTACCTTAAGCGTAACGTATAGGCTGGTTCCTATTTATTTGTTAACTATGCAATTTGTTGTTCTTCTTTCTTTTCACATTACTCAAGCTCTGGCGCGCGTGAATGTTCAAGTAGACAAACCACGGTGATGCATGTATGACTGAAAGAACGGAGAGAGAAAGAGAGAATATAGAAATGTAATTAACACTAGCCATTCACAATTTGATAATCAAATGCCCTAGGTCAGTTTTAAAATTGATTTTTGTTAACGGCGAGTTTAACGAGTTTCTAGCGTTTAACGACGATTATACATATGTTATATCATAGGGCTATCATAGAAAAAGTAACGTAAGACACGCGATACCCTATGTTTCTACGAGAATGACAAATAATAATCATCGAATATTACGGAGCGTTTCGTTCAATTTAACATGCGCCGAATTTTATCGGATCAATAGAATCAGAAGTACGATCTCTCGTTACGCGAGTTTGATACTTTGCTTCTTCATCAGCTGTAATTTATCGAGATTGCACAATGTGTCGTCCCAACGATTATACAAACGATAATTGTACAGCCGCGTCGCATCGTAATTGAACGAAACGTTTCCCGGATTGCCGTGTATCGTGTTTTAACGAAATGTAGTAGAATATAAGTAGCGTTTCAATAAGTCACGTTGGACAGCAGTCACATGCTCAATTACTTGTAAAGAAATTAACAAAATTTAAAACGGAAAGACTGACATTTCGGGGCCATTTTGATCGAAATTATGAAACCGTTGAAAGAAATACGTAGATGGAGATTGTAGCCGGCAATACAGGGTGAGGCGCATAAACATTTCATCTCGGAGATTATTTTCTCTCTGTTAATACCTCCAGGCATTTTAAACCGCGTCTTATGTGCTTCTCTCCTGCATATTGGTTTTCGCGAGGTAGACTAGTTTTTCTTTTTAATTAAACCGCGTACACAGGCCCTGTAATCATACAGAATACAGTCAAGATTGAGTCCTATATACAGTCATTACATTTACTCTTGTTATCGACGAAACTACCTTTGTTGATGGACTGATAATCGATCAATATGCGTTTTAGTTCAGTCGCGTCCGATCGCTGCGATTCCGTTTCACTCGTGTAACTTTACGTTCGTGGTTGTGATGTAAACGTTAAGACTCACGGGAAGCCGCGACGGTGGCACACGCAAATCCGCAATTCCTCGTCACTTTTTCTCGACATCTCAGCCGTCGTTCAGCGATACGCGGCGTTGATGATGTGCCCCGTCTCTGAAATTCCTATATCGCTGTAATGAAAATGTAAATACCGCAACGCTCAAGCGCTTTCGTATAATTTTAATTAGAACGTAACTTTTACCGAAACTCCCACGTGCGGACCGCCCTGAAGAGTCTTTCTCCGTTTGCAGGGTACTCTTGTAGAGTTGTTCACAAATGTCTTTACGTTAGCAATTCTCGGCCGCGTCTGTAGTTGTTACAGAGATTGTTCACGTATGTAGTGTTGAATATGTACTTAACTAAGGTATATTTTATAATAAACTTTTTCTGAAAAGAGAGAGAGAGAGAGAGAGAGATCTTTCTGCTGCAACACATCTGCGACAAAAAAAGATAAAACTAACTTGATGAAATAATCTAGGACTATGTTTAAAATTAAGGGAGAAAGCTCGGAATATTTATTTAAATATATGAAATATATAGAATAATATAATTATAGAAGACTGGTTTCTCAAAGAATTATATTACACACATGGTTGTTATGATATTATATTATTTTGATAATTCATCCATTCATAAGCGTACAAGAGATTTTATGTAATTATAAAGTACACTTTTGTATTATAATCCGATTAATGTGGCAAAATTTTTTCCATGTTATTCCGCAGGGTATCTGCGAATTCCCCTAAAATGAAAAATTTTAACAATACTACATACATTCTGCTATTCTTAAAAATCAGGAATCGGTTACACAAGTGGAAATGACGAAAATCTTTGCCTAATGCGGACAAGTCCAATAATCTTGAAATGTTTTCACAGCTGAAAATAGTCCAAGAAAAAGTCAATAAAGACACTCGATGAAGAAGAGAATCAAACTTAAATGTAATAGATTCGCGCGATACATCGTCTTATTCTTACAAGACAATAATCTCGGGTTGTCAACAGTATCGGAAATAAAATATAACTTGGATTTGGTGAAATGCGACGCGTTGCACGTAACAAGATACATTAACAATATAGATCAAATGTACAGCCTCGGCCAAAATTGTAAGACACTCTCATTATACTTTATTATACTGAATCTGCGCTAAGTACCGGGGAAGACTAGTGCATCCGTTGTTTCTGTAAACAACTTTTAAACAATAGTAATCTCTCCTGGTATTCAGTACAGTGCAATGATTATGAGAGTGTCACAATTTTGGCCAAGACCGTAATATACAGAAAACCAATAAAAAAAATAAATATATATACATATTTATATGTATATATATTTGTATATGTATTATATATATCTATATGTATATAATGCTAAATCGTTCAACGATTTGTCGTTTCAATAGAGTGAAAATGACTAGATTTGACTCTCAGAAGCGACCCTTTAATGCTTCATTATTGATTAAAAGTTTAATACACGTACACAGATGCGTCAACAGCATATCGGATTATTGCACGCATATTAAGCTCAAGTCTGTCAAGTTACGAGCATCAGCCGAAAAGCTAGCACTTATAGTGAGCTCTTGGTCGTCTTCTCTCGTTTCTGCGGGAAGAAAAAAAAAGTCCTTCTCTCGCCTAGCAAAAAGTCTTCCGCTAAACACTCTGCTGATTATCGTCAATCTACAAAGCGCGAGTTCCTACGTCCCTTTATGATGGCAGCCTATAACGAGTAAAATTAGCATACAGACTAGATTGTTCCATCGAAAATCGTACAGTTTATACCCATTCGTCGTCGCTATCCTATTACATGCTACATATGCACGAGACTGTCGTGATTGATCAGCACCAGTGAAGGAAACATTGATCACTCGTTATTGGTAAGTCTTATAGCTGGTACAGTATCGAAATTCTCATGTGTTGAAAACATCAATGCGGATCGCACCATCTTTAACGCAATCGGAAATCGGCGTATCTCGCGAATCTACTGTCTTCGAGGATTATCCGCGTCCTTCGAACCCTCGCCGGTGTCGTTCATGTCCCTCGGATGATCCTTGGAATTTCTGTCTTTGAATTCGCGCGAGTGGTAATAATGATTACTGTCTCTCCGCGAGGTCTGACCCCTGTACTTGCGATTGCTGCCGTCACGGCCGTAATTGCGGTACTCGCGCGACCGATAAGACGGCGATTCGAAACTGGCCGCTTCCGCCGACTTCACGCTGCCGTTCTGGAGTTGCGGCAAAACGGTCGAGTCCGTGTCCGTCTGATGATCTTGCTTCTCGTGCCGATTTGTGCTGTACCTGTAACAATTCACATGCAGATTTTATAATGTTTTCTATTGCTGGTTAACTAGTGCAATAAATTAGAGTAAAGGCCTGTGTCCATGATGCTAAAACTTGGGTCAAGTTCTAGTCCCGAGAAATGTGTAGCCAATCGACTTGCAGCTCTTATGGAATGGCTGCGAGTTGATTGACTACACATTTCTCGAAATTACAACTTGGACCAACTTCTAGCATCGTGGACGCAAGCCTTAAAACAAGTATATTTTTCTCATTATGGATTACTGCACTAGTTCACCAGCGCAGCAATAGAAAACAAGCCTGTACTGTTCTTCCATGTCTCGTGATAACTGCTTCAACTTTTCAAAGGTGACTTTTACGGCGAATTCACAAGTTTACAGATAGAGTTCCGTGAGTGTGCCGTACCTCGGTGATCTACGATGCCAGTAACTCGGTATTGGTAATGGTGGAAATTTACGAGAATTCTGTTCCTGCGTCGTGTTCGTGGGCGAGCCGCGGTTGTAATGGGTGTTGTCGCGGGAGCGCCCGCCTCTGCTGGAGCCGGCGTTGTTCGCCGAAGAAGCCGCCTTCAGCGAGGCTATCTCCTTCTTCTGATCCATATTCTCCTTGTGTAACCGCTTCACCATCGCGTACGACTCCTCCAGCAACACAACCAGGCTCGCCTGCACGGGATCCCCGACCTGAATCCCCACGTCTGCCACTTCGATTTTGTTCTTCTGCTCTTCCGTTACGTCCAACCTCCTGCGGAGCAAAGAGAGAGGCGTTAGCTCGCCGTCACGGCACACGTGTGACACGTTTTCGCGTGACCACTGACTTTTTTTGCTGCTCTATAATGCTCGATAAATACTGGTTATGTGTTTTCGCCTCTTGTAACGACACCTTAATGTCTTGCAAGTCTTTCTCCAGAAGCTCCACTTGCAAGGGTGTTATATTGACACTTGTTGGGCTACCCTGCGAGTTCAAAATTCAGAATTTCACCCTCTATGTCGACACGTAAAACGACGAAAGGCAAAGACACTATCGAAACTGCGTCGGGTCGCAGGTACCTTTGATTTCGCAAACCCATTTCCGTTGTCCTCGGGCGAAGAGGGACTACTGGTCGCACCGTAGTGCGCTTTTTTCGAAAATACTAGTTGAAATTGCAGATCTGCGGACGTTCGCAAGGCGAGTTAGAGGCAGGGCAGACTTGAAGATAGCAAATAGCAATTACGTCTGTTACCTCTATTCCTTTGACGCAGGCATTCTATCTCCTGATGCAAGGCGACCAAGGTCGCCTGATGCTGCTCCTGCAAAAACTTCATGTTCTGCTCCAGCTGCATCACCCTGTCCACGTTCAGGCTCTGATGCCTGACGTACGCGAATCCGTCGTTTCTCTCGGTCAGGGAGACCAGGTCGGGTGGTGCTTTCTTCCCCTGTTATACGAACGAGGGCTTTAAGCGCTTACAAAACCCGCCGCCTTTCTCTCTCGTGCTCAAACAAGTAATTTCGATAAATCTTATCACACATTCGAGAACCTGTGTACGCATTTCAATCGAGTCAAATGGCAATTGAACACTTGAAACGAGAAGACGAGCGTGTACTCACTTGAGGGAAGGGCACTGTCGGTAGCTTCATCAGCACTTTAGACGTCATCCCGAAGTTGTCGGTGGATATCGGTCGCGAGTCGTTCGTCGGCGCCCTCGTGGCTTCGCCCTAGTCTACTTTTACGGTATTCCGCTATCCTGATCGGCGATCTAAGAGCTATCGCACGTTCGAGCTGCACATCAACGCGGCTTAAGCTTGCTGGCGCGAATGAGGCCTCGAGTGTCTCGGCGACCTGCGTGGAAAATGCACAATTTCGCAATTAGAGTCACTCGCGGCGGAAACATACTCTAGAATCTAAACAGCGGGGGAACGTTCGAGGAACGTTTGCCGAAAACATCGATCCGGAGCAGCCGCTGCGTTTCTCGTTTTCGCACCCGCCAGGGCGAGCGGAGGGAAGAAGAGGAACCGAGCGAGGAAATAACGCAGTAGCGTCCATCGATCGCGCGTTACCGTGCGGCTTGTTTTGTCGATCCACCGCGCCGCGTTAACCGACACGCGCGAGCGTTAACAGACGAGAGGAAAGGACGCGGACGACGGGATCGCGGGATTTGAAAACACTTGTCTCGCAGCTCGCAACGCCATGGGGGAGAGTCTACGGGTGCCGCCAAGTAAGCGATGCCGCGCGGGATCAAGCGGACGCGAGGGCTACCGTGAAACGCGCGTCGAGGGCCGAGATAATGAATCTCGCGCGGACCGGGCGGGCCGCCTTACCGGGCGCACTCGAGCTCGCGGCGGACGAGAGTTTCGCAGGCTGAAAAGCGGACGAGTCGCACGGAGCGCACAGCGAGGTCCGGTCCGGCGGAGGGTTGAATGAGAACGTCCTGCGCGCGCAGCGTAACGTCGCCGATTGGCCGGCGGCGCGGGACTCGAACGGGCCCGCGGCACGCGGCGCGATCGCGCTCCCCGCGAGCGCGACGGACGCGGCGACTCGGGGAGGTCGAACGGCCGACGCGCCGTTCCGTCTCTCGTCCGCGCTCTCGGCTCCGCCGGAACCGGCCGCGCGGCCGATTCCGGCCGCGATTCCGCGTCGCCGTTCGAATCCCGCGCGTTTCCCGCGACCGGCGGGTCGGCCGCGTCGCCCAGGGGCGCTCCGCCGGCTCCTCGCGCCGCGTTTCCTCCTCGGACCCGCTGTTCCTTCATTCGCGACGAATCGGACTTGTCCCGAATCGAGCGGCACGCGCGATTGATGCCGGCGGGCGTAGCGATGCATCGGCCCGGCGCGGGCAGCAAACGGGCGGGGAGTCTCCCTTGTCGCGAGGAGCGCGTTGAGCACCGCTGGCGATCGCACCTCGCTCGTGTCACGGGTTTAACCCGTTCGCGTCGCCGAACGCCGCGAGTATTGATCCGCGGCGCGTGGCCGCGCCCACGCCTCTTCCGATCGTATCTCGCGTAGCCGGCGCGCTTCCGAGCGCGCAGCGACAAAAACCCGCGGCCCCGACTCGCCCCGCTCCGTTCGCCCTTAGCCCTTCGCCTCTCGTCGACCGTCATACGGGCCGAAGGGGCGGTCTCGGTTTAAATCATCTTGTGTCTCATTCTAAGGCTCGGTTTCGCCAAACGTCGCTTAACTTTGATCCTGGTTTAATTCATGCTTGTCTCTTTCTAAAGTAACAGTCGGAAAGAACGAATTCAGCTAAGCCTCAAGTTAGACCCAGTTTCGCCAAGCGTCGCTTAACTTTAAGCTTAGCTTAATTCGTTCTTTGCTCTCTTTCCAACTGTTACTCTTTAGAAAGAGACAAATATGAATTGAACTAGATTGTTAAGCGACGTTTCGTGAAACCGAGCCTTGAGCGACGTTGGTGAGACCAGGCCTAAAGCCCGTGTCACATTACGTATTGCGGATCGAGGATCGAATTGAAATTGCGGATCATATTTCAGCCAATCAGACGAGGCGGCCTTGAACCCGATTGGTTGAATTGCGATCCGTGATCCGCAATATGTAGTGTGGCACGGGCTTAATGGGCAGTTAGAAAAAGACAAAAGATAATTTAAACTAAGATCAAAGTTAAACGACATTGGCGAGAACCGAGGTAAGCCAACTCGATAGCGCGGAAAATATAAAAACTGTAAAAAGAATTCTCTCTCGACTCCCGAATTGTGAGATGAATCCTCTCCGCGTCATTTATACTCTATAGATGTCTCTAAGAATTCGAAAGACATTTGCTTTTATGTCAACGATTTTGAGCTCAATCTTTCTCGGACGCGGAAAGAATTCTTTTATACGCAGAGTCGGTTTGCGGCCAAGCCAAAATTGTGCCACCAGCCAATGGCGAGGACGATCTTCGAAAAAGACGCAGATTTTCATTGGTTGTTCCCAGTTAACGTTATCGAAAAACCTCGACAGCAAGTTACAGAATTCCCGTACAGGGCAACGATTGCTCGAGCTATTTGGGCATCTTCCACCGCGCTTTTGATTCGGCCCGCATGCTCGCCGCGTGATTTAAATTTCAAATTTCCGCCCGGGCTCGAATGTCGCGACTTTTTCTCTCTCTCGTTCCTCGGGTGATCGACAGAGATTTCGCGCGTCTCAATTGCCGCGGCGGAAAACGCTGCGCGTTCGACGTGGCGATTGCGGCGTCCGCGATCCGAATTTCCTTCCGCGAAACGTAATCGCCGGGAAATCGATCGGGTATCATTGGAACGGCCTTGAACCACTTCTCCCCCCCCCTCGCGCCGCGCCCGGAGAATCCGAGAGTCGAAGGGGCATCGATTTTTCGCGCGTCGCGCCAACTTCAGCCTGCACGCAGTCCGGACAAGGCGCTCGTATTCCCAAGTCCCGTCCAGCGCGTTCCCATGCAAGGATACGTGCCGCGGCGTCCCGTTTTTTAAGACCGCACTTTCCCCCCTTCTGTGCCCGTTGTTTATGGCACGGCCGAGGGGACGCGAGTGAGCGCGCACCCCCCTCGGAGCACCGGACATAACCAAGGGGACGCAGGATGTCGCTGCTCCTGAACCCCGCGGGGACCGTCCACCTCAACGACGACGCGACGGAGGATCCGTACCTTTCCGGGGATGAAAACGATGATTTTAACTTTAAGGTAGATCCCCCTCCCCCTCTCCCCTCCCCCCCGCGGAGCCTCGAGCCGGCGCGTACGTTGTTCCGCGTCTCGCGTCCCCCCCGGTGGCCGGCGACGTTACGCGTCGTCTACAACGCGTGGAGTGAGGAAACGAATCAACTCTATTCCTCTACTCCTACTTCAGCTCTCGCGCTTGCTCTCGGTTTAGCTTCCTTACGCCGGAAGCTAAGAGTTGTCGTTCCCTTTCGCTTCTTGCTCCAAGCTCCAAGTTAACAGATTCTGTTGATCCTTGCCGACACCCTGCCAGGAAAATTTGTAGATCACAAGATCCGTTTTCGACAGACTTGTTTATTCGAGTCCTCATTTGATTGTCGCTCGATACGAAACAAAACGCTGATCTTACGTTTCTCTGTTAAAGTACGTGCCTGCAAATCGCTTCAAGTACATAGTAAAGGACGTGCGCAGGCAGAGATGCCGGGAGGAGGAGGAGAGCGTGTGGGCGTCCTTCGTCAGGCGGCAGGAGCTCAACGACTACGGCAAGGGTGGCATCCAGCCGTCCGTTCAGAGTATCAAGCAGCTGTTGGACGAGGGTATGAGGGAGGCGGACAGGGAACTCAAGAAATTGGAGACCGACGTTGCGTCCGATGGAACGGCGAGAGAGTGCGACAAGGCCGGTGGCAATGGTCAGAAGCGTAAGCCGAAAGTAAGCGAACTCTCTGCGAAAGCAGCATCACGAGGTGACCGTTGATTAGACCGCTAAAGCTCACATAATAATAGGTAAATAATATCAGGGATTCGGCTGCGAAGAAAGCGCCGAGCACGAAAGACACTGGGACGGCCAGCACCAACTTGCTGCTCGCGATCCCCGAGGAGAGCAACGAGAGGAGGCGCGCGCCCGAGGACTTCAGGTCGTACGCCAGAAAGTCCCGCTCCGGCCACGCGATACCGCGGAGGCGGCCACCGCCGAGGCAGCCGCGCCACGCGACCAACGACGGCGTCGAGTACAATTCCAGTCCCGAGAGCAGCGCGCGCCGCGACGACGGCGTAATTTATGTGCGGCCGGACCCGTTCACCATGCGCAAGATCTTCACGATGCAGCGCAGGGTCGGCGAGCTGCTGGACGAGATCGCGCTCAGACTGGGCAACATCCCGGCGCCGGACGGGATCAAGGAGCTGCAGAGGCGGCAGCAGTGCGTCGCCGAGTTCGTCGTGCGGTTCTCCAGGAACTATCTGTACGATCTTAACAGATACGTCAAGGATATCCGCAGGCATATGTGCGTCATCTCGCCACGCGCGATAATAAGGCCGAATCGCCGAAACCTGGGGCTCCACATGCACGCGATCGAGCACAAGCTTCTCGCCGCGCATCAGCTGCTGCTGCACGCGTTGGTCGCCTATTGCAAACACGTCCCCAGCTCCATTCCCAAGGGACATCCCGGAAAGCTCAGAGAGATATTGCAGGTGGTTCTCGATCTGAAGACCATGTGCGACCGGCTCCACTTGAATTACTTCGATTCGGGGGACACGGACGTTCTGTCGCTGGTAACGCTATTAATACGAATCTATGTTGACCGATCAACGATCGCACTCTTTTGTATTCTCTTCACGCTTTGCGAAAATAGTAGAAACGTTAGACTCGAATTTGCTCACAAGTTGTTTGCGTGTTCGCAGGGGAAGGAGATTGAGAGCAAGTGCAATGCCGTTCTGTCAAAGTTGAAGGTCCCCACGGACAATGACTTGCTCGATTCCAACAAAACTCCCTCAGTGACGTCCTTCACTCCACATTCGACGAATAAAAAGCGACCCAGTCGCAAACAATTGTCCAATCGGCTGAGCATGTACAGCATGGATACCAAAGCTTCCAAGATTAATTCTAAACCCAAGACAAGTATGTAAAATCCATTTGTATCGTCAAGTTCGATATGTGTTGATTTTAGTTTGTACACTGTGTGCATTAACTTTTAGATTACCTTCAAAAAGATAAGAGGTGTAGTGCAATAGACGTTAAAAGGATCTCCAACGAGCTAATATCGGAGCAGCCGTATCCCAGTTCTGCAACATCTAAGGATGCGGATCAGGCTGACGTTAGAAAACACAGAGCGTTCGCAAAAGAGGAGGATATAAAGACCATGATGGATATATTATCCATAGACTCGGACAACGTAAAGAATTTATTACAAGATATGAGATAGATTTGTTGTAGCGTCAAAGTTGAAATACCTTGTTCACTTTGCAGGGCAGCAACTTCGAAACGCAAGAGAGACATAATAACGCGATGCCCACTAGGAGAATAGCGAGAAAGCGGTCTGGCAGGTTGCGGGACGAGAAGCAATTAGAAACCATAGAGAATATTGTTAAGAACACTTCCACAAACAACGACGACGAATCCGTGAAAAGAGAGGCGGTTACAGAGGAACATTTGTCTAATTTGGTGCCGGTTATAGCAGACTTCATGTCTTTGGTTTCCAATAAGGTGAACTGCAGCGATTGCTGCCCAAATTATCTCTGAAAGATATTTTCTTTAAATGAGGTTATTCAGTTATCTCTAGCTTGATAATTTAAATTTTATCGTGCAGCAAAATGAATTAGAAACGGGGCCAGTTTATTCTAAAACTTGTACGAAGACATTAATGAAATTCCTGCAGAAGTATCAGTCGGCTAAAAGCATGAATGCGAAGTTCAACGCAAGCTGCGACGTATGTTGCTCAGGCAGTGAATGCGAATGTCTCGAGACAAATAGGTATGAGTGTTCACATTACATTTTATAAATATTTCTTACGTTTGATAGCTAACAAAATGAGATTCAACTTACATAATATGTTGCCCTTGAAGGACGATGCGGAAAAACGGCGAGAATATGCAGCTGATTTGCGTGTCGTCGATAGAAAGTGTATCAAAGCCACCTCGCTACTGCGACGCGTCGTGTCAAGCGGATAGCTTAACGGAATTGCCGGATTTTGAGGCCAAGGTAAAATAAACTAAAAAATAAACACTGAAGAATGGTTAAAGAGAATCGCACAAATGTAATACCTGTACGTTGATTGTACGAATGCGGCAGATGAAGGAAGGAAAATTTGTGGTAGACTCGCTGAACAACATCGAGCTTGTCGTTTCCGAGGAAACGGAGATGGATTTTTTGAAATATAAGGCCGAGTATCAGCGGTCGATGCAATCGATTCCGATGTACTCTAGCAACACGCAAAATAAACCGTGGGACATTGTCGCTTGGTAAGTATAGTACAACCGTCTTACTCTTGTTCAGCAAATATGTGTGCAACGAATAATATTGTGCGCAGGATATCCGATAAGCTCGTAGACGAGTTGATAACGGAGATCGCGAAGGAGCTGCAAATAGACGACGTCATACAGAAGCTTTTCGAGTTAGAGTTCCAAGAATTCTAACGCTACTTGAGACTGCACAAAAGAGATTGTACAAGAGACTTTGCGTAAATTTGAGATATTTTATATTATAAATTGCTAATTTTGGAAATATAATATTGCGTCTTTGTAAATTGTCTCTTTCTTTCCAGCCAAGCGACTTTTTCCTGAAATATTTCTAAATACAAGCGTCATATTATCCGATTCAGTTAGACAAATGTGTCAGATTCGCAATAAGCAAAATGTTGGCAGCTGCCTTGCAGATTCGAACAGACCATTACATCAGACATAATCCTACAGCAAATTGACAGTAGAAACGTGACAGAATGTCATTTCATTCAAGTAGACAGAATGACAGATATTCTCCGAGCTCTTTTCATTATATTTCTGCCGACCCTGCTGACAAAATTTACAAGATCTTCACGAGACCTATTTTCGATAAAGTTGATTATCTAGTACTTAAACAATTCGTTAGCTGATGGTAGCAACCAAGAATCTGTCGTTGATTTCAATTAAATAAAATCGTTACAAGATAGCGGCTTTTATTCGGGCTTTGCGGTGCAATTAATCATTGCGTGTTCCGTTAATAGATTCTGCTTACATCGCTGCTGTCGTTCTACTGAAAAACTTCGTAACGGACACTTTGCGAAATCTGCTCTCGACTGGCTCGGCGTAAAATCATTTTTCTATTTTAATCGCCCCACGATTATCAGGATTTAACGAATTGTGGTGTTAGCTGCGCGAAACAACGATCCTTCTCGGGCGCCTTCGTAAAACGAGCGAGTGTCACGGGACAACCCGTCGTTAAAATAAAACCAACCGAGCTCGCACGTCCTGCGTAGTAGTTCGTGCACGCGTTAGTCCCCGGTCAGCTGATCCGACACAAAAGAAACGTGTCGGCCATGTCGTCCGCGGCACCGCGCGTCTTCTCGCGTCCGGTATCCGCGTGAGGAACGGCGTGGCTTTCACAGCGTCACGCGACACCGAGTCGAGACGCGATAGAGCGGTGTCCCGTGTCCGTGCACCACGTGCAAGTCGTCTCGGTCGAGCCCGACGAGTCCGCGATGAGTCGCCAAGTCGTCCTGAGGCTTTACAAGGACATTTTGAGATACGGCGAGACTGTGAGGTTCACGAACAAGAAGTACTTTCGCGACAGGATCCAGACGGCTTTCAGACGTAACAAGGGCCTGTCCGACGAGGCGGCGATAGACTTCCAATTGAAGGTGACGACGCAGCGCGAGCGGCGTGCCGCTTATAACCTCTCGTTGTTTCTAACCTACAAACCATTTCGTTATTTACTTAAAGTGTACATACCGTGCGGAATAATCTTGAAGCGAGGTTGAAGACACTTTGTTAACATAGACACAAGTTTCAACACTGGAATTCGGCATATAATAGCAGGATTGATTTCTCTGTTATGTTACATAATCCTCGCTCTTGATTTTTGCTTCATTTGTATCCGCGTGTTGAAGATATATTCGTATCATACGTAATGCAAACTTAAAATGAAAAAGAAAGGCGTTATACAGGGGGTGGACAAAATAATGTGAACACCTGACTAACACACAATATTTGTTAACTAATAAGGTATAGTGCTTCACTGTGGGGAGTAGGCAGTCCGGATCGTAAGGCTTTTTTTTGGGAGTTCTCCATACATAAACCCCGGCCGTTTGTAGGAAACAAAGTAAACGATGATTCATCGGACCATACCACATTCGTCCAAGTTTTATGATCGTGGCACCACGATCTACCAATGAATTTTTCACTAAACAGATTTTACTCCAAGGGCAATAAATTTATGGTGAAACCAATAGATGATGTCTATTAACTTATTGTTAGCAGAAACTCCGCTCTCTCACATTAGGGGACTTTTCTCTACATATCTGATATTCAGACGTTTAAATTCTCTCCCAGTAGTTAAATTTTGAATTGTATGCAAGTTAATAGTCTTTAAAAGCTCCGTTGATAATTTGGAACAATAACTTCTGTATTCCATCTTCCACAGAAGGGCATGAAGTTCTTGGAAGCCAAGAGAGTGGTGTAGTTCGCTGCGCCGGGAGACGCATGAGAATTCAAGGCAGAGTCATGTTGGCGAGGTCCGCGTTGACGTGTCTCAGGGTTCACAGTGGCATTCGCTCGACGGTCAGCCGCAAGCTCCTGCTGGCGGGTGTCGCGATTAATCGCGAGAGCGTGCAGGTCCGCGGCAAGTCGTTCAAGCGTTATCTCGACTACTCCAACGTTCCCAAGCTGGACGAGGCCGATCTGGAGGAGCAGTTCGTCCGCGGCAGCGGTCCGGGCGGCCAAGCAACCAACAAGACGAACAACGCGGTCCTGCTCAGGCACAAGCCCACCGGGCTCGTTGTCAAGTGCCACGAGACGAGGAGTCAGTGGGACAACAAGAAGCGCGCCCGCGAAATCCTGGTGACCAAGCTCGACAACCTGCTGAACAAGGAGCGCTCCATCGAGGCTCAGATACGCGTCCTCGAGGAGAAGCAGCGGGCGCGACAGGACTACAAAAGAAGAAAGCTGGACGAGATGAAGAGAGCGTTCCGCGAACGCGAAGGCTTGACGTGACGCGAGCCGTTTCGTGTTAAATTACCTCTTAGGCTGTACCTAAATTGACTTTAGATTTGGAAATAAGTGAAATTACAGCTTATTAATGTTAATTATAACCAATTGAATTCATTAAAGATCAATGAACTTACACCGTAAGTTATCTGGTTTCAGTCTCTGGAGATACAGAAGCTTCCCTTCACTCTAGAGCTGCAACTAAACTGTTAACTGCGCCGTAGTCTCCTGCTAGCTGGTCTCTTAAATTACAATTAGGATAACAAAAATAGCGAATATTTAATTACAATTAGGGCAAGGAATATTGAGTCTAAAATCAGAGTTGGTTGAACTTGTTGGCCGCCAATTGAATCCAAGGAGGGCCACGTGGAGTCACGAACAGGTGCAATGAAATAATTTTTCATGAAAAATTTGTATTCTTTAATAATAATTTCTCTTTCTGAACTCATTTACAGCAATTCTGCTTGAAATAATGTGGATATACTCAGGAATTGAAAATATAGAATATTACCTTCAATAATATACACAATATAACGGAAATGTGTGTTGCGTATCTCGTGTATGTATGCATGTATGGTGTGGTGTGTGTGTCGTGTACATGATTACAATGTTATAAAGCTGTATGCAGTCTTGCGTACTCTAAAATGTAATATACCTTAAATAGAGATAATCCTTAATCATGATCCGAACAAAACGATTGTCATCAAAGTGGTACCCAATTTTCGTTTACACAAAACGACACGACAAAGGAGGAAAAGAAGGTAAGGAACGACGTGGTACTAGTAAAAAAAAAAGAACAGAAAAAGATACAACTGTCCCGTCTCTGAGAACACAACGACCGCATCTAAAGAATGTACACAGTGGGATATACCGGGTGGGGAGTGTTAAAACTAGCCACCTGAAAGAACGTCACTAAGTAGAATGGCATCACTAAAGAGATAGAGAGAAATTATATATATAATATATATATATATATATAATACTATGATGCAATGTTAAATACTATTCTACGTACACAAATAATATTTTTATACACAATGTACACTGTGGCGGGATGAGATATCGGATTGCGAGATCGACAACCGGCCAGCGTCGTTGAAATCTAAGCCGAAATACAGCCTCTTTCGTCTCCGCCTCCGTTCTCCAGGTCTTCAGCTGTTCTTCAACCACCGGCCGAAGTGCCCGCGGCCGGACTTGACGCGCTTTCTCGCCGGCTTGGGATTCGAGCGCGGCGGTGAGCCGCCGGAGCTTCTCAGCCGCCGGTTGCTCGCAACCGTCACCGTCGACAGGATACCGTGGTCCATGTCCACCTGGTCGTCGAGCTTCATCATCCGCACGACCGGCTGAAACTCGATGCTCGAGCGACGCTGCTCGAGTTCGGTGGACGACAGCATCGACGGGCTGACGCGCTCCGACAGCGCGCACTGATCCATCGTCGGGTCGGACGACTCCTGGATGTTGTCCGACGACGAGATGGCCTCGCTCTTGCGCTTTACGCCGCCGCGCACCCCGCCGCTCGCCGGTGACTGTTGCCGCTTCTTGTTGCACGACGTAATACTCAAGTAGGCGTCCTTTTTACAATTCTCGTCCTCGTAAATCATCCCGACGCGATCGGGCGACGACAGGTTGACGCTGTTGCGAGTGACGGCCGCCTTCGACTGGCGCTTCCTCGAGTAGATCCGCCGCCGCGGGCCCATCCGACCGCGCCTCGTCGCGGCGAACATGATACCGTGGCGGCCGTGTTTCGACAACTCCCCCGTGTCGGACGAGTTCTCCTCGCAATTGCCGCCGCGCAGCTGCCGCTTCGGCAGCGACAACTCGCCGGTGGAATTGTGGTGTTTCTTAGGAACTATACCGGTCTCCTCCTTTCTACACTGCTGCAACTGCAGATTGTCCTGGTTCTCGATCTCCGTGTCCCGCGACTCGCAGCTGTCGGCGCTGCTCGCGACGTGCTCGCGCTGCCGCTGTTTCCTCACGGACGACTTGGCGACGACCAGGCTCTCGGCGATCGCGTTCACGTCCTTCCTGCCGAAGGCCAGGTTCTTCTGGTTCTCGTGATTCTCGTCGTTGCCCGAATCGTTACCCAACATCTCCGCCAACTCCGACAGGTCTTTCCTACACGGATAATCCTTGCTCGACAGATGACTCGTGTTCGTCCCGTCGTCGCACGCCTTTTCGAGAACGGACTCCACGTAATCCTTGCACACCTTTGCACAGGCCGACAGGCTCGTGCTGTCGTTGCCGACAGCCTCTACGCTCCTGTTCCTCTTGCCGAGCGTCTCATGGTACGGCTTGTGAGACGTAGTGCTGGCTTCCAACGCAGCGTCCACGTCGCTCTTCTGACCCAGCCGTTCCGCGGCCATTGCGACGTTCGTCTCCGACAATCCGTTGTCCAGCGTGTGACGTCCGGCTAAGGCGTCGTCGGAATAGAGCCTCCTGTCCGCCAACGATTCCCGGTCGCAGTCCGTCAAGATCTTGCTGTTGGTTTGTATCTTTTTCTTCATCTTGTTACCAACTGGCCAGCCGGTCCGATTTTTTCTCCTTTTCCGTCGCTTCAGCGGAATATCCGTGCTGATCTCGCCGCATTCCGAGCTCGCGCACGACGAGTTGTTCTCCAGACAGTTGGTCATGTCCTGACAGTTGTCGAGTAGCTCCAGCAGATTCGGCGGCGCGCCCTTCGTCAGGTTCGTCTCGCAGAAGCTCTCGGTATGCGCCACATCCAAATCGGGCTCGAACGAGTCGTCCAATTCGCCCTTCGCGCTCAACATCTCGTCGATCGTCCTCGCTATCTCCTTTATCTCCTCGTCCACGTCTAATTTGAGCTCCGGCTTCTGTTCGAACGCCTTGGGGGTGTTGACGCGTGATCTGCTGACGGACGGCGACTCCTCTATCGTAGGTAGAGTCGACTGCTGTTCCCTTTTGCGGATTATGGTGGACATAATAGCTAACGTGGACGCATGGCAGCGCGGACTCTTCCTCGGCGAGCGGCCCGCGCAGCCCGCGCCGCGACCGCGGCCCCTTCTCCTGCCGCTCTCCATTCTGTTCTGCGCTTTCAGCAACGTCTCCTGGAAGTTCTCGATCTCGTACGGCAGGAGAAATGGCTTCATCGCCTCGCACTCGCTGAAGCAATGCCAAAACTCGGCGCCCGCGTCCTGACGCTGATACGTCTGGTACCACGGCTCGGACAGAGGCACCGACTCGAAGGAGAACTGCATCTTCTCAATCTCCGCCGACGGCTTGGACGGATAAACTTTCTCGACTACGCTGTCGGCTTGCGGCCTGCAATCCTCCGATGCCTTCGTCGCCCCTTGTTCCCTACTGCCATCGGCGTCTTTGATACCGGTCAGTGGAGCCTGGTACCTTAGCCTGCTGCCAGGCGTCTCGAATTTGTAGTAGTCCGTATTGTCCTTGATGAACGCCTCCGCCTGCGTACGTCTTCTCTTCCTCGCTCTGCCCAGGTGCACGGAGTCCTGCGAGTCCTCCTCGACGATCTCCTGCTTAATGGGGCTCGAGTTCAACGACACGGACGAATTGACGTTCTCGTGGGTCTCGCTGTCCGTGTCCCTCGGTAACACGCTGCTCTGCTCGCCGTCGCTGGTTCGCTCGCTCGAATCGTCTCGCTTCGGCTCGCCGAACATGAAGGATTCCGCCTCGTCGCTCAGTAACGACAACTCCGATTTCCTAACACGTTTAAACCGCACCACCACCGGCTTCTCGTTGGACGGCGCCTCCTTCTTCTCCTCGTCCTCGCCATCCTTGAACGCCGCGTGCTGCGAATTGCCGCCCGGCGCCGCGCTCGACCGCAACTTGTTACCCAACACTTCCACCTTGTAGTAGGCGCGATTGTCCTCTATCAAACGCTCCTCCACAGACAGTCGATGTCGGTATCGACCCCTGATACCTCTGCCGCCCCTCCGACTCACGCGCGGATGCCTGGGCCTCGCGTGCCGAGCGTTCTCTCCCTGCGACGCCTTCAAGTCGCTCTGCTCGCTATGCCCGTTGCAAACGATCTCGTTCGCGTCGCTCAACTTCCTCGCGTCCGCCGTCACCTTCTCCGTACTCGGCAGCGCGCAATTGTTTCTCTGAAACGAATCGTCTTTGCAGCTCGTCACAATGTAACCACTGTCGACACCGACCGCTTTTATCGCGCACTCCAAGACACCCGAGTTTTCGTCACCGTTGCACTCATTTTTACTACCGAGATAGTCTGGATCCTCCGATATGTGACGCGAGTTTATAATACCGTTTTGCGCATTTCTATGCACGATCACCGACTGTAACTTTGGCGGATCCAGATTACCGTGCTTGTTATTGATATTATCTTCCTTACTGTTATAAAACTCGATATTGTTCGGAAACGTTCTGATTTTGTAGTCCTCGTGCTTGGGCTCCTTCAGGATGTCCTCCGTGTACTTGTCGTCCTCCTCGATCCAGATGGTGCCTTTCGAGCGCTTCTTGATGGTGTAGCCCTCCAACTTGTCGTACAGCTTCTCGCTCTTGTCGACCTCGTGCCACGGACTGCCCTTCGACCTGAGGAGATGCCCGCTCTCGTGTTTCGTGCGAGCGCGTAGATTGTGCGACGAGCTTAACTTGAGATTAAGATTTCTGCGCGCACCATTCACCATTTTTATCTCGTCCACGGTAAAGTTACTTAAAGTCTTGGTGTTCTTGTTCACCTTCTCCTCGGGCAGTACTACGCTGTGAAGATTGCCATCTCCGTTGGGGAATAAGCCGCAGTCCTTTCTACCAGACAACACACGGAAATTAATCAGACGCGCGAATGTGTGGACACTTGTATTCTACAGCTGCGTTTGGCATTGCAAATCCGAGTGAGCGAAGGAGGGCAATGGGACAGATCCCCTAAAGCGTTAGACGGGCTACACACTAGTAATGCTTACAAGTGAGGAAGTACTTTTGTGCAATGACAGTTTCATTATTGTTTTATGTGTAATAAAAGAGAAGAAAATAGGACAAAGACCCTTAACACGTAGTGACATTCTGTCGTTTGTTAACTGTACTCACAATAGACACGAGTGTCGCTAATTAAGCGTTGCACAGAAACGTATTTAGAGGAGTCGAAACAATTTCATGATCCGATCAAAGTAGAAAAGCAAGGAGTTTGCGTTTCAAGTCGCCTACAGTTCCCGCATTATGAACCTCAGGTGGAAACTTGTTCCACGATTCGGCCGCGAAGCTGCAGAACGAACGCTTAAAGTATTCCGTCCGCGGTAACGGAGGAGTCGGTGTGCCTTCGGGGAACGAGGTGGCAAGGGAGGGAGAGCAATGCTGAACGCGGCTAATATTCAAACTATACAAATATCGGCGAGATTGAAATTAAAGAAAAATTGTAGGTTTCACTTGCGAATGCTTACTCAATGTCCTTTGTTCGGTTCAATTTTAAGAACGCCTCCACGTTGGCGCCCGCGTTGATCAGCGTGTCCAACGACAAGAAGTTGTCATCGTTCCCCACAAAGTTGAGATGCTGTTCGCTTTGCACGTGCTTGGACAAATCGTTATAATGTACACGACAAATCTCGCAATAGCCAGCGACCAGCTGTTCCGTTCTGCGGGCACGTGCGGCAGTGGCACGGGGTCTCCGAGTCATTTCTTTACCCTGTCCACACGAAAGAAAATTGCCCATGACCTTGACGTAGAAATTCGACCCGGTAACTTTTGGTACCGTTTTATCTCAATATACGTTATGTCTTATATAATAGCGAATAATGCACCACCTCCGCCTTATTTACAGATTCAATTTCCCTCTTATTCTCCTTGATCTCTTTGTTTGTCAATTTGCTCTCTCGTTTCTCCTGCTTCTTTGCGTCGAAGGGACACGAACCAGGATCGCCGTCAAAGTTCAACGTGGGCCACGACGGCAATTCCAGAAACACTGGTCGAGTAGATCTAGAAATAGAAACGGGAGGTGATTTCACGCGCGGAAAGCCGGGCGTGAGCGAAACGCTGGCGACGATTACCTGTGGATAGAGTCAAATTTGACGTACGGTCTCTTCAAGTGCTTGAGCTTCGTCGAGCTCTGCTGATTGACTTGCTTCAAGCTCGAGGTGCTCGTGAGAGACTCGTAGATCTTGTCGAGCCAATCCTGAAGCTTGTCCGTCGTCCAGATAGGAATTCCCCAACTATGGGCGTTGTTTAGTGGATCCACGGAACACTGTTGTGGCTGCGTCAGAGCACGTTCCAACATTGCATCCACCCGCGATTTCTTCGGGAACACAAAACAATTTTCCAATTTATCGCGCCGTTGCACCCCATCGATTGACAAATTTTCAACTCGCCTACCGCAACGTTGCTCGCGCGACAGATAAGACAGTATCGAGAGAGGACGCGCGGCGAGACAAATCTCTCTCTTTATCAACACAACACTGTACTTTCTGCGCGGCGCGTCTCGTCCTCGCCACTTACAGATCTGGTAGTTTGACCCCGCAGAGTAGAATTGGACGAGGGGCATTCAGAGCTCGGCAACGGCGTCGGGGGTGTGGGAGTCGGGACTTCGACGCTTCTCAGTGAGCGGGGTCCCCCGCTGCCTCCGCTGATGTTGCAAACCCATCTATGTCTCTCCAAGTTGGCGTGGCCCGCCCTGTCCACTCTATCGCTGGCGACGAGATTCACGCTGCGCACTAGAAACAACTCGACCGCCTGGAAACAGAGAGCAGCGAGTTGAAGGAGTAAAGACGGGCGCGGGAGCGGCGGGGAAGGCGGGGGGGCGCGAGGGGCTTGGCAGAAGAGCGGGCAGGTGTAAGCGGACACGATCAACACGATCAACTGACACGTCAGAGCGCATTCTTTCCGAGCTGAAACGCGACGGCCTCTCCCGTGGGTATATCTCGAGCTCCTGCGGCGCGGACAAAGGAGACCTTGGCGAGGCGAGTCCGCCCCGTCCGTCCCGTCCCGTCTCGCGAGCGAGCGAGCGAGCGCGCGACAGAGACGGCCCGACTTTCGAGGAAGTTTATCGTTTGCGCAACGAGCAAAGCGTTGCCGCGCGCGCACAGTGCACACATACGCGATGAGCGGCACTCGGGGACACACGCTCACATCGCGTTACGCTGACGTCAAGTGATTTCGCGGCTTTCCTCGGGCGGCGGCGGAGGCGGAGGCCGACCGTTACAGCGCGTGCCGTCGCGACCGAGCCTCGCGTAGCGGACGCCGCGACTCGCCGCCCGCCGCCGCGCGCATAGCGTTGTTCTAATAATACGACGCGGCGCGTCGGCCGCCAGCTGTGCTCCGTCCAAGACACCGGGAGGCGGACGCGGCGAGGAGACGACACGTGGAGCGCGCCCCGGCGCGAGCGGCGGCGGCGATCGCGACGGCGCATTCGCGACGCGACGGCCGGGCGAGGACGCGCGCCTCCCTCCGGGCAGCCACGGGGAGTCTCCGTCGACGTCCCGTTTCCGACGCGGCGTTGGCGGCGGCGGCGGCGGCGACTCCGCGGATCGTCGCGCGCGAGAGCCGTGGACGCGCGGAGCCCGGGGGGGCGCGTCGCGTCGACGAGGCGACGCTCGAGAGGACGCGGGAGGGAGCGCGCGCGGCCGGGCGGAGAGAAGCCACACGGGACGCGACGGCGCGACACGACGCCACTCGCACTCGCACTCGCCTGCGACTGCTGACCGCGGCGGACAACTGTCACGCACAAAATGGCTATTCGCCGTTAGCAGCTTGGCACGGGGGCCTGGAGACGGCGCGCGCGTCCGCCCTCCGCTCCTCTCGCGCCCGACGACGAGACGGCGAGGACACGCGCGCGCGACTCCCGTCAGCCGCCGCCGTCGTCGCGCACGCCGTCCTCCCGCGTGCGCGCCGCGTGCCCGTCGCTCCCCCCCTCCCCGCCCCGCGAATCCGCTTTTCGAAATTTTCGCGCACGGGCCGGGCAATTCCGCGCGCGGCTGCGCAGATGGCGCGCGGCGCGCCGGTTTCGCGGAGATTTGTTTGTCAACAGACAACGGCGACGGTTTGACAGCTGCTCTATTAATAGGCGGTCGCGAGGCGACTTTGTACTCGCGCACTGCCGCTCCGCTCTCTCGCGTTCGTCCCGTCGAGTCGTCGCCTCGTCGAAACGGCGAAAGGGAGACGAAACCTCCGCTTCTCTCCGGCGACGACGACCGGAGGCTCCGATTTCGCCGAGAATCCTGCGCGGAAACGCGTCGAGCCGCGGATCGAAAGCTTTCAATTTCAACGCAGGAAGCTCGCGGCAAACTTCCGACTGGTCGACTCGCGTCTACGGAGTCTCAAGGCTCGTCCACACGACAAGGCGTGAGGCGCGGCGCAAGAGCGCAGGCACAGGCGGAATAAAATAATTTTCTTTCCAACGCCCGCGCCCTTGCGCCGCGCCTCACGCCTCGTCGTGTAGACGAGGCTTTATTGCGAGTTCGGTTGCTTGCACTAGTTTATAGTCACTTGTTGTATTTAACTTTGCTTAAGTACATGTACAAAAAGTATTTAGTCAAAAAACGATTCGTATAAACGTTGCGCAGACCATTGTTCTAGAAAAGAAATGTTGCAGGAGGTATTCAAGGCGATCTTTAAATATAAGAACTGGAAACGAGGCTTAGCGTGCACTCGGTGTGCGCACTAGTGCAACCAACCGAATTTGCTATTAGCTCAACCGGCCCGCATGCGGGGCATCTGTTATCTCTACCAGAGAGAAGCCTGAGAGATGTCACGGCCCCGTTTTTCGTGATACGCGAATGCGATACGCCCTCTGTGGACATTGAAAACGTGGACATTGAACTACGTAGCCAATGCACATGTTGCTAAGTGGGCAACGCAGATTTGCGAATTTT